CAGTGGGTGGTGGCTGCTGTAGAGCCCTCATGGCAGCACAAACCACCCTCCCGAGAGGGCTGCAGGTGCCTCCCTGTGCTCCAGTCCTGGGTGTGTGGGGGGGTTCACACCTTAGTTCTATCCCAGCCCTACTTTCCCATGGAGCAGTGGGTAGATGGACAGATGCTGAGTGGTGAGGGTATTCCTTGCCACAAACCCCACCCTTCTCACCTTCATACCATCTTATTTCTTGCTATCCCAAAGACCAGTGCAGAGAAGTTCCTCCCGACAGAGGGACCCCTTCCTGCTGCCCTTCTGCCATGCGGGAGGGCCTGGTGTTCCCCTGTATTGGTGACGGCTGCTGGCAAATGTGGACAGGAGAGCTTGGAGGGCCATGCCCACCCACATTCTCTTGGCCACAACCAAACCATGACCCCCTTAATGCCAGGAAGCCAGGGTGTGGCCTGGCTGTTTCTAGCAGGCAGAGAAGTGGGTCCAGGGAGCCCAGGCACCCCCCAAGCATAGAGTAAGACCCCCAGGAAAGCTCCTTGCAGGCAGTGTGTCCAGACCTCCTAGGGCATCCCCACCCCTACTTGTGGAACACAGTGGACAGATGGGCCAGAGGCCAAGGAGCAGGGGTGTATGAGGAGGCCCGGGGAGAGCTTCAAAGAAGACCCCTCACCACCCGCTGGACCTTCCACATTGATCCACCACCCAGCAACGAGGGCAGGCAGCCTGTTGATCTTTGTGAAGGACAGTGTTTCTCCAGGGTCACCTGGGGCCCCCAGGAAACAGCAAATAACCTGGCATTCTGGGAGGCAGGGAAGATGGAAGAGGTTAAAAGAATGGTCTGGCTTAGAGTGTGGTGACCCAGAAGTTTGGTGACAGCACAGTCAGAATGAATTTCCCCTGAGCACGTCCTGTGTGGTCTGGCAGGGGCTTTGCTTGCCCTACACACATGTGCTGGCTGCGGGCTGAGGGGCACCACCAACCTACAGCAGCTGTGCCATCTTGAACACATGGTCGGCTTGGCTCCCAGGGCAGGGACAGATAGAGTGGAGACACTCAGGTGGCTTTTCACTGCCCACCTTCAAAGTGACCCTCCCCACTTTTCTCTTTTGGTTGGCCAAGTACAGTCCTTCCAGTGCTCAGGAGAGAATGGTAGCTGCTGGGGAGACCCTCTGCATGGTCACTCAAGGTGTTGGGTGGACTCTGAGGTACTGTCTCTGGAGGGATAATCCTGTGTCTCCTGGTCTTACTAGAAAGGCACACGCGTCTCTCCTAGCCACAGTACACTGATGTCAGAATGCTGCTCCCACTTTCCACAAGAGATGTTTGATCTGGGCTGTGTACTTCCTGGACATTTCAAGAAATTTGGGACATTGAGAAGAAAGGGAGTGTGAAAAAATGCCCTCCTGTGTCCTCAGGGGGACTCGGCTGGCAGGGCTCACCCAGCCCAAGGTTTCCCAAAACTCCATTTCTCATCCTATAGACATGTCGTGGAGAGAAGATGGTGAGCACCTGTGCCAGAGAGACTGAGCACGCCCCATGTCTCAGGAAAGCGCACGCCTGATTCAGATAGGGACACCACTGGAGTAAGGGGAGTGCAAATGCAAAGAATGTGAAGAATCAGTGAAACGCCCATGAATCCTAGCTAGGCTTTCGGCACAGGAAGTGCTACCTCTTGGTTTTAAAAACAAGGATATTTGCAATTGTTCAAAAATTGCTCACAGTGGCTTGGGCCTCTCCCGGGTGCAGTTGAGAAGATGGGGAGAGGATGGGTGGGTTTACACAACGCTCCACCTGTGAGCACCTAGCAGCATCTGGGAGCCCACCAGAGGTGCTCTCTTCCACTTGTGAGTCCCAGCAGAGGCACAGGAATACAGGTCCCTTGGCCACCTGCACCAGCTCCTGAACAAAGTTGGTATCTCTTGAAACTGCTATAGAGAATATTTTTATCTGATTGGAAAACAACAATAAAACTGTCTGGTGTAAAGGCCCATCCACACAGCATGAACAATTAGTGCTATTTAATTACCGACAAAATTAGGCTCACAAATTGATTTATGGCCCTGCAGATGAAGTGCATATTCGTGGAGGAAGGCAAATTTCTTGCAATTAACTTGAGCGAGACAAAGCAGGTGATTCTGTTGGGAAGTTGTCTCAGAGTCGGGGGCTGCAGCCAAGAACTTCATGGGCCTCAGAACTTCTCCAGTTCTTTTTAAGGATCAGCCTGACCCACAATTAGTCATGCTAATTACTCAAAGAGGATTGGCCTTGCAAGCCCTGGGAGTGGGGAGCAATTCTTACATCTTATTTTAGCCACAGATCAGGTATCCAGAGTAGCGGCTTCCCAAAAAAGCTTCCACACCAAAAAGTAGAGAAAACTTCTGTCTCGTCAACGATGCATAATGAAGAAATAGTCTAACAGTTTAGGCAGTCTAACAGTTTGGAGCTAGAATCAGGCAGTCACTTTTTATCTTAAGGACATTGAGAAATCCTGTGTGGCAACCAACTGGAAAAGAAAAAGGCATGATGACATTCAGGACAAACGACACAGTTTGATTTATAAAAATATTGTTTTTAATGAAGCACAGGGGCCATTAATTTCTAATCAATAAATCTGAGAAATGCCTTAAAATAGACTTAGGTGCACAGTGAAAAATACAGGACCTGGATTAGGCATGAGGGGCACATAGGCTCTGCCACCCAGAGCCCTGGTGAAATCACACAGGAAACAAGCCTCAGATTCCCCTAGTCAGGTGAAAGAGGTGGGGACGAAGATTCCCACAAGGGTCCGAAGCTTCTGGTTCTAGGATCCCGTCCTGACATAAGCAGCCACACTGCATGGACCTGTCAAGAGCGCGGCTTTGAGTCTCACCTGGGCCCCCATGTCAGTGCTGGGGATAGGCCCAGCAGGCCTGGTTTTAACAAGCTGCTGATGCTGGCTCAAATGTCAGAAACCACCAAACAGACAACCTCTGAGGGTCTCTGAAGTCTCAGGTCTCCCGAATGTTATAGGAGAAAGACACAAATTAAAAAGCAAGTTCAAGAACTAAACAAAAGAGACAGACAGGCATTCAGAAAAATACATGCAGGGTAAGGAGCCGTGCACATCTCAAAGGGAGACACTCAGAAAGACAATTTCTGTAGAACAGCCCTGGCTTCTCTGATCCTCCTTGAAACTCTGAAAGCTAAAACCTCTTAAAGCTTTGGTATATTTTTGCAACCGAGGCATGTACAATCAAATGTCTATTTCTCCCTTAGCCTGATGGTGGTGACCCTGTTCCCTCCTTTCCTTTATTTTTTTTATCTTGAGACAGGGTCGCACTAAGTTGCCCAGGCTGGCCTGGGTCCTCCTGCCTCAGCCTCCTGAGTAGCAGGGGTAACAGTCCTGTGCCAGTGTCCAGCTGTGTTGACCCAGTTTTACCTGGATCTGGTTTGACTTGTCTGGTTTAAGAGTCTTTAGAGATCCACAGAGCTTTCCTCTGTTTTCTCTGATTACTGCTCTGTTTAATTCCAAGGCTCCCACCAAGCAGAGCAGTCCTCAGGCTGGAAGTCATAAGAGGGTGCCTAGGGATCTTGGATTGGATGTCTGAGTCATTCAGGAAGGGATCAAGGAACCACCATGTCTTTCCTCTCCTGGGGCAGCCTCCTCCCCACTTTCTGGCCCCTGCTCCCAGTGGGCCAGCTTGGGGGTCAGGATGGAATTCTTCTAGGGACGCTGACTCGAGTTCATTCTAGGATGGTGACCTCAGGGGTCACAGGCTTCCTCACGCAGAGATCACTGGGAGACACCTAGGGCATGGCGAGGGCCCCTCCACCCATCCACGTGCTCATGCCTAGCGAGGGTCAGCAGCTTCCCATAGGCCAGGGACCTTCTGGTAACCTCAGGTTCTGGGAAGAAGCTGAGCCATGGACCTTCTAGAACCTGCATTGAGGAGCGGGCGGCTCTCTCCTTGGCTTCCGCGGGGTGTCCACCACCTCCCAACAACCCTCTCCTGTTTGCACACGCAGCGAGGGCTACAGAGGGCGGGGGCGGGGACCACGGGAGGTGGGACTTACTTTGCGGATTGGGGCTCACAGCTGTCATTCTGAAAGGGTGGGGCTTTTTAAAAAAAAGACAAATTTTTAAGGCAAAACCCCCAACACGTACCGGGCACTGTCGCGATCGCCAGCGCTCCGGATGCAGTCTTTGTGGAGCGGGGCTACCGCGCCTGCTGGCGGGCGGCAGCTGCGGCGCACAGCCGCGTCCCCGAGCCAGCGGTTCCTCCTCCGCACACATCTGGCGCGCCTCCCCCGGTCGCCGGCTGGAGCCGCGCGTCTGCGGAGTCGGCCGTGCGCTCGGCGCGCGTAGAGCCCCGCAAGCCCGGGCCCGGCGGGGCGGCTGCCGGGCCGAGGGGCGGCTCGGAGGCAGCTGCACCCACCAAACTTTGGGCGCGAGGGCGCGCCAGCACGAGCCCCGGGGCGCGGCGGCCGCCCAGGATGGGGGCTGCGTGCCAGGGCGCCCCCAGCCGCCCCGCGCACAGGGCCACCCGCCCCGGGGCCTCCGTGCCTCTTCTGCCTGAACCCAGGGCTCTTCAGCCCCGCTGCCGGGACCACCGCCCCCGCGGCCACTAGCCAGCTCGGGGCCACCAGCCGGTCCGCTGCCAGCCCTGCGCCGGGAGGCGCCCTGCCTGGGCCACCGGCAGCCCCTCTTCACTTGGGTAAACAGGAAAGGAAAAACCCCTCGTGGATTAAACATTAAAAAAAAAAAAAAATCCCGGTGGGGGCGAAAGAGGGGGTGGGGCTTCCTGCGGGTGTTGGACTCCGGAGAGCAACTCCAGAGCCCGCGCGGTGGTCGCCTCCCGGCCAAGAGATGGACAATCAGGAGGAGGGCGCAGGGCGCCGGGGCTGCTCCAGACCCTAGCCGCCTGCGCTTCGCCATCCAGCCCAGCTCCGGTCCTCCAGGGGTTTGGCGACGTCTGTTCTTACCTAGACGGTGTCAGGGAAGCTGAAAATCTTCATTCCGGGGCTCCAGGATGTGCCCCAGTGAGATGGGAATGCTGTGGCACCTTTGGTCCCCCGTGCTCATCAGCCTGACCGCCCTTTTCTCCAAAGGTGAGGACCCCGCCACCTTGGGCCCGGGACTAACTTTGCCTGGAGTGCATGTGGGAGAGTGCGGGGCTGTGGGCGGCAGGGAGCGAGGGCGTGGATATGCGCAGGTGTGTGTGTGCAGGCATGTGGCAGGGGACATGCTCAGCGGCCCCTCGGCTGCAGGTCCTTCCCCTGGAGGACTTGGCTAGGATACCATGGGGGAGACTGCAAAGGAACCCGAGGGAATTGAAGGTTGTTGCCAGAGGACAGTAAGACAGGGGGTTGTAAGGCCCTTGATAGAGAAGGTGGCTGCCAAAGTGCTGACAACAGGACAGGAAAGGGGAACTGAAATGACCTGGAAGATCCTGGGATTTGGAGTTGACTTCTCTGCTGGCACCTGTTTAGAAATAATTTTGGACAAGTCTTATCATGTGGGAATTCCATTTAGTACACCTGAGGCTGCTAAAAATAGGGCATAGGTCAGCTCTGAAGAAAGGGTCTGGAGTTCCTCTGCCCAGTCCACACAGAGGTTTCAGCACCAGGTCCCCACAGGCACCTTCCTGGGGTGCCTGGGGAGCAGCATCCGGGGAGAGGTTAACTGCAACCTGGGACCCGAGTTCCCAGCAGGGCCTGACCCATCCATTTCTCTCGGCTCTCGGCATCCCTGACTGTGAGTTTGAAACCTTGGGACCTTAATTGTTTGCAGAGAAATTGTTTGATACTCAGAGCAGATTGTAGAGAGGACCAGCAATTTTTTCTCTTATTGATTGGGACTCTGTCTGTGTGAGGTTTGCCCCTTCAAGTGCCCCTTTCCTACAGAGGCACATATTGGGAGAAAGTGGAGATATTTAGCAGTCTAAAGTGTGATCTGAAAAAACCCTGTAAACATGTTTTTCTATGATTATTTTCTGGGTGAGATCTCTCTTAGAAACTTCAGAGTCAGTTACCACACATTGAGTGTTTCAATTACATGAATTTTCTGTTCCCTGGGTTTTCCCAGTATCAGGAGGCTCTGTGGCTTTGGATCAGGTAGATCTAGACAGTTCACCTGCTGGGCTTTTGTGCTGCTCCCATTAAGAAAGAACATCTTATGTTCATCCACTCCACTGTCTTCTCAAGTGCAGCTGAAATGGACTCGGGTCTCTCAATTATGTGTTAGAACAATCCCGATGACCAGAGCTGGTGAGAGTTATGCTGTACACAGGAAACTAGAGGAGAGGTTGGTGAATTCCATGAATCCAATCCAGGCTGACATGAGGCTTAAAATACCCCTCCCCACGCCACAGCCTGGCTGGCAAGAATGGCCAGGAGGCAAGTTCTTTACTGGTGGTCACTGGGTTTTATAATAAGAATAGGTGTCTCTGCTTTCATGCTGCAGTAACAAGGTTTTGTGAAGAAAGGCACAGGGTAGCTTTGCAAAGATGACCTGTCAGCTGTGTTGTTACGCAGTTCCCTTACAGATCGATTAGACCAGGCAGTGTGAGAGAGCTGAATTTCCTGGATACATCTGAACTTTTCCAAGTGGAAGCGCTGAAAACTTCCCCAAGTGATTTTCTGTTAACGTGGAAGCCTTTTTTCTAAATGGCCAGAAATCAGCTTCTGGGTGACAGTATAAACGCAGCAGATGACAACTTCCGTCTGTTGATTGTAGAGAACTCAACTCAGCCAGACAGTTCAAGAGTGACTCCGTTGTATGGGGACTTCCCACTGTGCTCAGCGCAGCCAAGCACATGGTAGGAATTCAGTGATCATGTACACGGTGCCAGAGAACACGGGCAAGTTAATATTGTGAAATTGGGTAACGTGGAACTTCGTGGTGCAGGCATGGCTCATCAAACCAGGGTAGGCCAGTCCTTCCCCAGCACGTTCAGATTCCTTCCCCTCTGAGATTCTGTGGCCACTTGAGAGCTCTGACCAGCCTGAAATCAAGTGTTGGCCATATTTAACAGGGTTCTAGTCAGAAGTAAATGCACACACTCTAAAATACCTAATTCATCTGGCACTGGGTGAAAAGTAGGGATTGCTGTTGGCAGTTATTAAATACATGCTCCTGCATGATGCCAGTTTTACCCCAGTGTCTCTGTGCATTCCAAATAAGAATTCTTGGGTAAAACAGAGTGTGCGTTTGGACACCAGGCTAGCACCCTTGGACTTGATGCCTGCTTAAATTCCATGAGCAGAAAATGATTAGTCATAGAGCAAACCTACCCTCATCTAGCTGTTTTAAAAATACAAATACAGATAAAACGTCATTTCTTGTACGTCTGTCTCCTTGGGACCTAGGAGCAGTGGTATGAAAAAGAAAGTTTTACCAACCCCTTGTCACGTGGCCCCAAACTCATGTGGAGAACAGCCGTTGATTAAGTTGCTGGGAGCTTGCGTCTCACTTCAAGTGCTGGTTGGTGTTGGGAGTTACTGTAGATCTCGGATGTGCAGGTGGCAGATGCTTAGTGCTTCTCTGTGGGCTTCCTGGGTGGAGGCAGGTGACAGGAGGGTGAACTAAGAAGAAGGTTCAGTGGGAAGATGGAGATGAGCAGAGAGCAAGGTGGTTTTTAGACACAGAGCAGGAAGGTCGTCACCTTAGGCTGCTGTGGCCATCTTCCTTGCATGCACCCTTCTCAGCCAAATTCTAGTGACAAGCAGAAGCTCAGGGACCTGCAATCAGGGAAAGAAGTTGTGGCACCTGTCCCAGGCCTCCTGGGCAGGGACTTCTCATCCTGTGCCCAGGGCTTCCACGCACAGAGCTTCTCTCCTGGGTCCACTTGCATAATTCTCCCACAGAGAGGGGACAGAGAGAGCTTCAGTTTATAGTGGCACCTTTACTAGGATTCAGGACTTTTTAGGACAGCAAAAAATACTAGGAGGAAGTGTGTGTGTGTGTGTGTGTGTGTGTGTGTTTGTATGTGTGCGTGTGCACGTGCACATGCACATATGTGCAACTTCATTGCTCACATTCATACCCTGTCAAAATTAAAAGGCTGGGGAATGGAGAGACCGCTAAATTCTGCTTTTGTGAATTAAGGAGTTAAAAATATCACTTATTGAAAGTACTTATATGCACAGAAATGAAGAATTCCAAGTTTGAGATGTTTAATTGAGTTCTATTTTCAAGACCCAAGGAAAAAATGAATAAACAAAACAAATATTCCAAAAATATATTATTGTAGAATCTTACATTGCCTGTATTTCCAATTCATCATTTATGAGTCATATATCCATCTTCTCATCTATCCATCCATATACTCATCTACCTACCCACCCACCCATTCATCCATCCATCCACCTACCCACTCATCCATCCATCCACCCACCCACCCACCCACTCACCCATCCATCCATCCACCCATCCATCCACCCACCCACCCACCAACTCATCCATTCATCCATCTATCTACCCACCCACCCATCCATTCATCCATCCATCCACTCACTCACCCACCCACCTATCCATCCATCTATCCACCTACCCACTCATCCATACATTCATCCATCCACCCACCCACCCACTCATCCATTCCTCCATCCATCCATCCATCCATCCATCCATCCATCCACCTACTCATCCATCCATCCATCCATCCATCCATCCATCCATCCATCCATCCAGTATGGAAGGTTGTGTGTTTTCAGAGACCACAGAAAAGGCAGAAATTACCTTCAGGTATTTTGAAGACATGGGGTCAGGCTGTCCAGGGCCTCACCGGCTGGGGAAGCTCCACATAGTCAATTGTCTGGATTTCAAAGTGCCACAAGTCATTGCTCCACTGTTGTAAGTTGTAAGCACAAACCTGGGTGGTTCCATGTTCAGCAGTCCCCTCTTCCTTTTCTCTTCTGGTTCCGTCTCCCTTTGCTATTTTATAATGACCCCTCCCTTCTGACCACAATGTGCCCCTATGCTGTGCTGAGCACAGAGAATATAGTAATGAGGAGAAAATCCAAACAGGTATGGTTACCGCCCTCACACAGCTTGCAGTCTGTGGAGGAGACAGAAAAATGCCATGTGCACAAGAGAGGAGAGGTGTGCTGACCCCTGTGCTGTGTGCTTAGAGTGGCAGAGCGTCTCTGGAGGCAGGACTGCCAGTGTTTGACTGGAGCATCAGGGAAAGACGGGCATTACCTGGAGGACAGGGAGAGGGAGGTGCAGGGGTCAGTGGGGGATGTACAAAGAGGATGAGAACAGGTGCCTGTCCGGGCTGAAGGTGGCCAGGGTGGCTGGGCTGAAGGAGTTGGGGGGGGGATGCTGTTGCGTGAGGGAGAGGACCAGAGGTGTCCTGACAGATGGGGTGGAGAGGGGTCAGCACCCACTGCTTCCTTAGAATTGTCCAGCTAGATGATAAATGTGGTGGTCACCGCTTCATGGGCTTTGTGAGCAGCTAGGTCTGTGTTAAGTAATAGAAGCAGGACAGAGTGACTTTAAATCAGAGGGTATATAAGTTTCCCATGCTGCTACGGCAAATGGCCACAGACACGAGGACTTAAAACAACACAAGTTCTGGAGGCCAGTCGTCCCACTTCCCTACACTGGGCTGAGCCCAAGTCATCTGTGGGAAGGGGATCTTTCCTGCCTCCTGCAGATCTGGCAGCTGCCAGCATTCCTTGGCTTGTGGCCACTCAGTCCACCTGCAGGGCTGCTCTGCGGTCTCCCTGCCCCTCTGAGTGCCGCTGTGCCTGCGTCTTCTCTGGCCTTTGGGGAGGCTGGGTGGATTGCAGTTAGAACCAATCCACACCATTGGGCAGTCCCCTTGTCCAGTTAGTCCCTTCTTCAGTTAGTCCTAATTTTCACTTCCAAACAAGGTCAGGGACACTCATGGTTTCCTGTGACTCACGTGAGAGCGTCCTGTGGAGGTAAGGGGCATTTTCCAGCCATCCCCAGGGGTAACATTTTCAAACTACTTTGTAAATGTTCTCCAAAATTTCCAGTTCACCTCGAGGCAACCAATGTTTATTTTCCTTCCTATCTTTGATTCTTCCTATTTAGCATAGCACTTTGGACATTGCAAAGGTACAATAAAAAATTTAAGTAT